ATTAACATATCATTGGACTAACTCATAAGCTTAGCTCATCACAAATCAATCATGGATCATTAGCCCAAATCATATGTATCACTGATTTACATAATCAGTCCCTGTTAATTTAATTAGTCTCTTTTGATCACTAAATTAATTTCAAATTAATTCTTGATCAATACTAATTAAATAATATGATTTCTCAATTAATATAGTATTCTTATAATATATTAATAAACACAAATAACCTCTTTCTCAAATATCCATCTATCAAATTGTTTTGGTGAAGGCAACCCAAAATGGACCATGCTACTATCGGGTCAAGTACATACCAATTATAGTTATAAGCTTAGACATCTAATCCAACAGATCAAACTAACTATTATAAGTCAATTCAATAATTTTAACCCCAATGATCATGTAAGTCAAGGACACAAAATTGATTTTGAAGGTAATTTGGACTTTGAATAATTGAATCTAAAGACTACTATTGTTTAATCAATGTGACATCCCCAAATTCATGGCCAGAAAAGACCGATTTGTTTATGCTTTATTTGAAAATCAGAGTATATTTTTAAAGAAATATAATGCGGAATTTGTTTCCAAAAAAAATATGAAAAAGAATTTATCAAAGCATTTCCATAGAAATGTATTATATTAAAAACTTTGGGATATCATTGTTTATACAGATCAAAAGCATAAACATAAACAACATAGGCATTATAATATCTATTTATTCTAGTAGCCTATAATCCATTGATCTCTCATCAGATCATCACTCCTGTGCTCTCTTTCCACTACCTGTATATGAGAAAACTGAGTGGGTCAGGCTTGGGAGCCTGGTGAGCACATAGGGTTTTCAACCCGCAATAAATAAGTTATTAATTTCATTAACCAACAATAACCCGATTACCCATTCCTGTTATCCTCACTTTATGTCCCTAAAACACTTATCATAAGGGATCTAGCCTAAGGATTATCATCGGGATGGACACTACTGCTAAGGGGTTTCCTCAACAATAAATGTCCAGAAGGCAACCATGAGGGGGATAGAGTACACTAGTGAACACATCATTCACAAACACCTATAGGTTGCGGGCCTACTAGCGTTCCACTTGACTGTCTAGAATAGTCTGTGGTTGTCATCAATACTCTGCTAGATGACTGGATCAACAACAACATCGAGGCCTCTCATCATTTTATTTCATCACACATCAACTATTTCATCTACTCATGTTTTACCACAACATATTTGTAGATATAAAATACATATACAGTTTAAATCATTTAAAACATGTATAATAGTGTTCTTCTAACATAGATAACAAGTATACAGACAATATGCACACATAGCATGTAATTTATATAAAATACTTCATATCTATGCGCAAGATGAAAATAAATATGCACTCACTTTAGTAGCGGGAGTAGATAGAATCTAAAAACGGTCAACGGCTCGTGATCGTCGGTCTTGGGACGCGGAATAGCTTCAGAAAACGAGAGAGAGAAAGAAGATTTGGTGTAAGAAGTGAATGAGGTCGAACTTGCTATTTATAGGCTGATTTCGGCCCATTCACGTCGTGAGAATTCATTGCTCACATCGTGAGCCATGGATGAATCACCTCGTAGCTTCGACATCTGCGTTCTAGGCTTGAATAGTGTCTGTTTGACTCCTCACGTCGTGAGCTTTTGAGTTATCGTTTCCGTAGAATTCTAGCTTCGAAATGTGGCGTTTTGAATTCTCACGTCGTGAGAAAAGAGGCTCACGTCGTGAGTCCAATCAAATTAGGGTTTCTGACACGTGTCATGCTCTTAGACAGCTGTATCTTCGGAAGGTCGTAACTTTTTCATACGAACTCCGTTTTTGACGTTCTTTATATCCACGCGTAGGTGGAGACGTACTCTACAACTTTCATTTAGACCCCTAAGGATAAAAAGTAGTTTATCATAAACTCACTTTTTACGATTCCCAATGTCGTGCTGGTTTTGACGCGAGAGTTCGACAAGTCATATCTTCTTCGTTATAACTTGGATTTTGGCATTCTTCATATATCCAAAATCCTTGTCTCGACCACTACAACTTTCTTCATAGATATTGGACCTATCTATTATTTTATTTTTGATGCTTATTTTTATTCTTAACTTATTATATCTTATAATTAAGTATAAGGCACATAAAATCACATAATATTAAAATAATTCATATTTATTATTTCAAAGTATGTTATAAGTGTTGACCCTAACTAGTACACCATTAAATTAATGCTTAGCCTAGAAACACGGACGTTGCAATCAAGTCTAGTAATCATGCAAATATTATGATTAAATACTGCTCTCTAACACAGTTAAGCAACTAACTTATCACCTATACTAGGATATAACTAATCACTAGGTCTAACAATTTAATGATCATAAATAGCTAGGTAAATCAATTTCATACGATTAACCCGAGTTTAACTACACATTCTTGAGACAAGACAATAAAGATATAAAATTTAATAGACTAGGTTTAGATTTATCAAACAATTTTTAAAGCTAAAACTAACTTCATCAATCCATCAAACAAGAAATCAACACATAGTAATTAAGAGTTCATCTAATCTAAACGAAAGCAAGGTTTTTTAGCTCATAACTACAGCTGAAAAAACCCATAAACAAAAGGTAAACCAAGCTAAACATCATTAAACTAAGCAAATCGAATTTGTAGATGCCAATCCTTGCTCCAATCTCTTTATCCTCTAATCTTTAGTCGAATTATGCCCTCCAAGGGTTCTTGGAATGTTTTTTCCTCATGAATAATCGCAGCCCTCAAGCCTCTAATTGCTAAAATCGATTTAATATTCGAATATATATGCTTTCCTAAAATCTAACCACCATGACGTGTTGAACAGGCACCAGATCATGGTCTTCTATTAAATGTTGTACTCTCCAAGTCAGCTCAACGATCGTGAAGTTTCCATTTACCACGTCATGGTGGATGATCACCACGTTATGGGAGTTGGATTTCACATTTTGGCCCAAACACGAAAGTCGTCTGGAATTTTGTCTAGTTTTCAAATCATTTTGAATTTCATTAATTGGAGTTACGAGTCATGAGATATTGCCAAAATACCGACGAGGGGTCAACCTGTTCAACAACATCTTTTTTTGTGTATTTTCCAACTTCTCTTCCTCCAAGTATCTAACGTTTGTCGGTATCAGTCATTTTCTTAGAGAATGTGTATTTTTTGGTTGCAAAATACAATTTAAAAATTATAAGTATCAAATATTTTTATAATAAACCAAACTATAACTTACAATGTATTAAAACAATTCCTAGAAATGTGTATAATATGGCACTATCAGCGTATCTACAATGAAACTAAAATATAAATGCTCAAATCTAATCAATAAAATTACGTTCATTAGAGCTAACTACCTTTCTTTAATCTTTCTAATACATACATTGATTGCAAACTTATTAGGCTTTTCAAAATCCAGTTAGATTTTCCACTCGATAATTACGGTATAGAAGGAGGGCGGAGGAAAACTTATAAAGTTGATGAAGGATTATGATATTCTCATTACTATTTTCTAGAGAAACACAAATTCAAAAATCTCTAAATGCATTGAATCTCAAAACGAAAACCCTTCAAAAACGGTTGAGGGTATAATAAAGTGGGGGTGACAGAGAAGGTATGTGACAATGGAGTTGCCGGAGAAGGTTGGTGACTTTGGGATCGTTGGTGACAAGGGAGGCGAATGATGAAATTGTTTAAAGGTTTTGGTAAAAGACGATGACAACATCAATGACATATGGATAAAGATTATCAGAACTAGTGTAGGTGACATATGTGTCACGTTACTAATAGGATTATTATTATTATTATTATTATTATTATTTGAATCGGCAAATTTAATCTACTCCTAAGCTAACAACACCTATTCCACCTATGTCCACGACGAGACTTGAACCCTCAACATCAAAGAGGGAGGGCACCACGTGATACTGCTGGGCTACAAACCCTTTGGTGTTACTGATAGGATAATAACCTGCTTAACCTGCTATCACATGTCTTAATGGCTAAATGATGATAAAAATTAAAAGTTTAAGGACTTAATTCATATGATTAGAACTTTAAAAGCTAAATAATGATAGGTTTTAAAAATCGATGGTCAATAAAGTCACAATCTACTATAATAAATGAAGATGTATTTTGTAACATGTCAAATTTTCATAAGTTTTGATATTTTAATTTTAAAATAAATAATATCCACATGCATATTTCTGTGTTTTTTTTTTCAATTTTTAAAATTAAAAAGTCATATAATATTAATACTTATATATGTAAAATATTAAATGTAATAAATATGATAGTAAATTGCAAGGTTTTAAAAAGCTCGCCATGGCTTCAAGGCTTGTGCCTGCCGTCAAGTTTCACCAAAACGCCGCCTTAACTAATATATGTGTATAAAATATAATAATAGTTGATAAATACATATAAAAATATTAATTATATACAAAATTGTCGCCTTAAGTTACGCCTTACAAACAACATGCTCACCAAAGCTCGGAAAAATTTGAGGTTTGACATTGCCGCCAAGTTGCACCTTATGTTATTTAGAACCTTGGTAAATTGCAATTAATAAGTTTATTTATTTTTTATTTTAATTTTTAAAATTAAAAAGCCACATAATATTTATATTTATATATGTAAATATTAAATATAATAAATATGATAGTAAATAGCAATTAATAAGTTTCTTCATTCTTTATTTTAAAATTTTATTTTAAAAAAATACTTATTGTTACTTTTCGATATTTTTTAAACCAACTCGGATAATAGTTATGTATTGCTCCTAATTTCTTATATAGCAATCTCAAAATTCTCCACGGTTCAAAATTTATGTAGCTATTAAGTATAGGGACCTTGGTGCAATTAAAACTAAATTCAAAATTCCCCACACTTCAACTAGCGTCTAGCTTAAAGTATAGGGACCTCGATGAAAATAAATTTCAATATTTTCACCTAGCTTTAATGATAGTCCCGTTGATTTGGATTTCAACCACCTTTCACGACTTGCAATAAATTCTTTCTACATTTAACACTTTCCCCGCTCTACTTCACACTTCCCCCAAATACTTTCTGTCTTTTTTGCTTAACAAACACTCCTCTAATTTCCAAACTCTAAAATCCAATCAAAACGACAAACATTTTTGATTCGTAGCCCTACGCATAAGATTCCGAACTAGTTTTTTTACGCATATTTCTTGAATTTGCGTTTTTACGATTATACTAGGGTTTTTGCCCAGAGTTTGGTGATCAAATGTTCTGGATTTTATCGGTGTATCTATTTTAAGTGCGCGATGGAATTGGAGCAATCAAATCAAGGAATGACAATTGAAGAGGCGTCAATGGAACAAAGCATTGGATTTGTTAAAGCCCTACAGGTTTTCAGTCAATTTAATTTCTCATTTTTCGGTTGATGTCAGATCTGTATTGTTATATGAAATGATATCTACGGATGTTAATTATGAAATCTGTGCTATAGTTTTGGTTTTACTGTATTAGGTTTCTGTTTTATATGTCCTCTAGTGTGAAAATTAACTATGATACTAGGTCACAAAAATCCTAATCAACTTGAAGTTTATGAATTCCAATCGAATTTAGGCTTGAGTTCACTACATACTTGGGACTAGCTTGTATTGGTCTTTAGTGGTTTAAGTCATATAACATTTTCATTATGATGTGGAATGGGTGAATTAGCTCGATGTGTGATTCCTCTTATGTCAATAAATTGACACAAAAAACCTAATCAAGTCAAAATGTATAGAGTTCCAATCTAGGATCAAGCTTGGTTCATATCAGAGACATGGGAATAACTTGTTATACTCTAATGAATTAGGGTTGTGTTTATGCTTTATTGGATGCTTTTATATGCTAAAATAGTAACCAATTATCGTTGCTAATTGGTTTTGATTCTTGTATGTTTTTTAGGAACTCAAAAACTTAAGACCCCAGCTTTATTCGGCAGCAGAATATTGTGAAAAATCTTATCTTCACAGCGATCAAAAACAGATGTAAGATTCATCTTTTTGCCTACCTAATAACTTGATAGTTGGATCTTTTGTTCAATTGTAGGCAATCGAATAATTCACCGTTCACACGATTTTTCTTAAAAAAGCCAAAACAGCTCTATATTTTGCTATAATCGTGTTTTGGATAAAATTAAATACCTATCAGGACTCATTACATTAGTTGTAGGTTGATTATAATTACATGATTCCTCTTTTTTCTCATCACTAAGGGTATTTCAGAATGAGTTAAAGACTCATTTATTCAACAAAACACGTTTTTTCAGTTTAGGCAAGAAAGTGGATTTCTTGTTTAATTAATGCAGAGCAATGTTTCAATTTCTTACCACCACCTTTTACCAATTCATGCAATAAAGTGAATTTTTATTTTAATTGATAAGAATCCACTTTGTAGCATCATTTGGTAAAAAATGTGTAAGCCATTGCATAAATAAGCGACTAACCCGACATTTGGCTCGTAGTGGAACCATTGTGAATATTTTATTTTTCCTAAATCGCCCTTATACTTTACATGAATGATGAATTGTGATACAGGGTCCTTGATAACCTGAAAGATTATGCGATTCGAGCCCTAGTCAATGCTGTTGACCATCTTGGCACTGTTGCTTACAAACTCACTGACCTTCTTGACCAACAGAGTTCAGAAATTTCATCAACAGAGTTGCATCTTACATGTTTACATCAAGTACGATATGTTGATTTTTTTTTTTTATTTATTCTTTATTGACTTACAAGTTACAAACAAACCACCATTCTTGCAATAATGCTTAAATAAAGAAAAGAGAAAAACCACACCCGAATTTGAATCAGTTTTTCTTTTTCTTTGATTTTTCTTTTGTAAGAACAATCACTCCAACATAATTTTAAAATTTCTTTTGTTTTTTTTTTTATGTAAAGCAACTTCTTACATGCCAAACATATACGGATAAAGAAGCCATCAGACAGCAAGAATTATTAGCAGTTTTACCAAGGCATCACAAACGTTACATTTTACCTAGTAAGAATCTTAATATTTGTACAACACTTTGACATACATATTACATAGATAGTGCACTCAATGTGTAAGCGTAACATTTTCTTTGAACCTAGATTCTATCAGCAAAAAGGTCCATTTTAGCCCTCAGGTTCAAACCGATTCAAACGCAAGGCAAAGTAATCTTCAACCACGAACTCGCCAATTTACTTCAGGTAGCAATTAGCAAAGCAAATACTCTCTTCTTTTCATTGAAAATGCAACATTTATCCTTTTTGAATGGGGCAAAATTGTCATTTTTGTCCCACCTGACCTATTAGATAAAACTAAAGTTTACTTCAAATAAAAAAAGTTAAATAAGTTATAAACCCAAATGGCTGTTGCTGTTCTAGATTAAAAAGAAACACAACTACCTACAACTTAATTCTCCAGATAACATTCACATTTTCTAACTTGTAACTTTGGGATATTGACATACTTTCGATCTCTTACCTGTGCAAAAGACGTGAATGCCCTTCTCTTTGGAAACAAATTCCCGTTTTTTCTGAACTACATATATATATATATATATATTTATAAACGAGCAACTTTTTTAACAAAAATTGGGAAATAAGATGTGTTTATATATGAATGGAAATTAATAAAAAGTGAAAATGATTTAGTTTATAAATTGTGTTTTACTCCAGGTACCCCGGCTTCAAATACTCTTTCTTGGCATTTAGCAACGGAAACTAAATCTACTTTGAAAGGGGGTTCACGCCCATCGATGAGGTAATAATAATACTATAACTATACTATCAAATTATTTCTCTTTTTCCACAAGTCACAACAAAAGAATTTTTACTTTTTTTATTCATTCCATTCCCTTGTCAAACCAACTTCATGGCTTCTTGAAGATTGTATATAAAAATCCTGAAAAGAAATGTGATATCTGTACTTTTTTTGAAATATTGCTCCCAATTATAGCATTGGACTTTCATACATTTTTTTTTTTTTTTTTTTTTTCTGTTAGAGCATTATACTTTGAAAAATCTACCTAATTATAGGAATATAGATTGCTCTGTGTAATAGTGTCTGAAAAAGAACTTGATGTTTTTGGGCTTAATACAAGAAATATCTACATTTTTTCGTTTATTTCTGTTATAGCATTGTACTTTTGTTTTTTTCTTATCGAATATCAAGGCATTGTAGTTTTAAAAATCTACCCAATTGTTGCATTGCACTTACATTTTTTGCTCTTATTAGGATTTAGCAATAAAAATATCCATGATAATTTGGTAGATCATTTAAACTAATAATGCTGTAAATGGAAGAAACAAATGAATGGAAGTATGTTGCTATTTTTTTGCATTTAACCTTTTTTTTTTTTTAATTATTATTATTATTATTGCAGCATGGAAGAACCAAAACCATCTCGCCGAACTCCATCCAGTATGATTGAGTTTTATTAGCTTTTGCTATATTATTTAATAAAGTTAAATTTTGCTACATTTTTTTTAATATATATTTATATATAGATGGTGAAGAGGGCATGCAGAAAAGGGCAGATAATCTTCGATTGTCGAATGTGGGGCCCGCTTCTACCACAGCTATGCAGACACTTGGCATCATTCAACGGGTATGTGTATGTCAATTCTATATCTTTTAAATTATATATATATATATATATATATATATATATATATATATATATATATATATATATATATATATATATATATATAATTGATGAAATTTTTCGAGTCTTCGTGTGCTTTGCTGGTTCCACAACCAAATGGGTATTTTAGTCATCGAGTAATATACAATTGTTATAATTTCTTCTTGACAAAATTGACAAAAAACTAAAAGGGTATTTTAGTCATTTGGTAACATACAAAAAATCGACGAAAGGGTAGTTCAGTCATTAGGTAATAATATATTATACGGTTGATGAAAATTTCCTTTTGACAAACACCGAAAGGGTATTGTGGTCATTTGTTTTTATAATTTTCTTTTGACAAAATTGGCAAAAAACTGAAAGGGTATGTTAGTCAGTCATTTGGTACTTCACACTTGATGAAAAATTCCCATTGTTAAAATTGACAAAAAAAATGAAAAATTGGTAACATAGAATTGTTATAATCTATCTCCTTCTGACAAAATAAAAAACTGAAAGGGTATTTTAGTCATTTGGTAATATACACTTGTTGTAATTTCCTTTTGACAACATTGACAAAAAAGTAAAAGTGTATTTTAGTGTTTTGGTGGTATACAATTGTTTATGATTTCCAACCTTTGGATGGAATTCAGAAAAATAAAATAAAAATGAAAGGGTATTTTGGTCATTTGGTAATAAACATTAAACAATATATAGGATCCAAGTGAGGGTCAGAAGCCAATGACACCGTTCCGATCATTTGACAACCAAACAAGACATGAAAAGTCAAAGTCAAAGGCACCCGGTCGCAGCAAGAGTCTCTTATCCGCTTTCTTTGTCAAACAAAAGCCAACCAAACAACAACCACCACCCATTTCATTTTCGTGAAGGTACAACTTTCATTGCATATTGTACAACACAACTCCCCATAAACCAAAACACATTGTACTTTGAATTTTTATTTTATTTACTATATATATATATATAGGAGGAAGACGTTGTATTTTGAAAAACCCACCCAATTATAGCAGTGTTGTTGGGTGGATTTTTCAAAGTAGAATGTTGAGAAATATTGTAAAAAGAAATGGAAGTAGGATGCTATAAACAAATAATATGAAAGTATGTTGCTATTTATTAAACCAAACCGTGTACCATGTGTGTGTATTACAGCTTCTACAAGTGAACGGGAAAGAGTCAAAGAATAGTAGTTTTACTATGAAAGAGAAAGAGAAAGAGTAGTTAGTTAGTTAGTGAGTGTGGTTGTAGTTTGGAGTTGTATATGGTGTGTGTAACAACAAACAAATGAATAAAGTTTGTCTAATAATTACACAGACTAATCTTCATCTTTAAAGAAACTTAACAGTACTTGCTCTCACAAATCCTATTTTTATTTCATAAGAATTACATGTTTTTTTTTTTTTTTTTTTTTCTTATTATCCATAAAAAGCATGTTATTTTCACTACCAAACTATTACTTGTATTGGAGAAAGTTCTTATTCGAGTAAAGGTTGATGAAAACTTCGTAATGTAAAAAAAAGGTATTGCTAAAGGTTTATGCATTGTGAAATGTAAAGATAAAGCCATCTCAAATCCATTCAACTTACCCTAGTCAACATCATATTTTCAATGCTTTTATCGTTTATTTATTGCATGTCTCATGTTTTGGAAATTCTCACAAAATTTTAAATCGTATACAAAAACAGTTCAGTATAATTCAAATTTTTGGGTTTTTTTTATTGAAAAAGTGGTTTATTTATAAAATATCATTTTCATACATGTATGAGAAACAATAGGAGTAAGTCATATAAGCATTCATAGAATTTACCAAACAATAGAAATAGCTTTCATACTTATTTTATTTTTTATTTTCTTATTATTATTATTTTCTTTTATCAAACAATAGAAATAAATTTCATAGATTTTATCAAACAATAGTGTAAGATTTTATAAAAACATTTGACATGTGTTCCATGTTGGGGGAAATATCACCATATACTCACCTTATGAGTTGTATTACACACATTAAATATCAACATACTCGGATAATGCTAAAACTAGCATCCCATGTTCAACCAAATCAACGTTCTAGTATGTTGAGTGTCAAAGTATTTCATTCATTAAGGTTATTATCTTGTCATATCACGAATCAAATGCTTTGTATGCTTAATTTTTATACATCCCAAGTACATATACACCTTCTATCAATTCCATGAATCAATATTCACAATTTATGATAACACCCTATAATCAATTACCATCCAGTGACGTTCATGGTTTAATCCAACCATCAAAAATGAATTGTCAATTTTTTTTTTTTTTTTTTTTACTAACATTATCCATATTGTCCATTTCACACGCCAGTTGCAATTTTCTTTGATGCCTTAATCATTTACCATTCCAATTTAGGGTTCTTGACCCAAATCAATGAGAAAATAATCATTCATGCTTCAATCTTGTTGTTCTAGTAACAATAACATGTTAAGAATGTTTAATCCATCATTCTCTACCATATTTTCAAACATGCATACCCTTTTCTCTAGCGTTAGGTTTTATGTGTATAACCTTCAAATTACTCAATTTCCACATACTAAAGACGGATATGTGTTTATTACATTCATCTCCAAGGTTTTGTATATAACTAATTTCTTCTTGAAATGCTTAAATCCATCCTTTCTAGCTTCAATATGTGAAATTTACATCATAATTTATGTTAGTATAGCTCCATCTATCATTAACTAGGTTTGATTCTAACATGCAAAGCTATAATCCAAGACTAGGGTAGGGTGCACGAGAACTTCCAATTTCACCAAAAACACCATTAAGTTGCAAAGATTTCAAGATATTGCCTTTAATCTAAGTTGATAGTCGACTATTCTTGTTTCCTCCTATTGATTCTCCTCCGTTTGTCTAAAAAATTGAGTCTTGAACACATATTTTTGCACCTTCAAATACATACACAAGTCTAGAAGGTTTAAAGATGAAAAATGGCTTCAAATGCGAAAAACATGTAATTAAAAATGATCAACTTTAGACTCCTCTTCATCACCTACATGGAAATGTAAGGCTTAAAGGAGAAGGGTACTCAGCCACATAGACAACCCCAAACCTATTCCTATTTGTCAACTTTGTTCAGCTTGGCCCGAGTGTATGTATTTACATGGTTTTACTCTGCCACGTAAATAAGATATCCTTCAACATTTTCTTCATAACCTCTTCATTTCAACCCCAATCAGGGCTGACCCTAAAGGGTGGGCAAACTCGGTGACCACCCCGGACCTCGCCAAATCTCGGGGCCCCAAATAGTGATTTTTAAGATGATAAAAAATATACTTTTCCCTAAAATAACTAAAGGTGCTTGTAGTTTGTGTGGTTGAAGCATAGGAATGGTTGTAGTTGGTGTTCCGTGTTTGAACCTTGTACCACTCCTAGAAGAGATCCTTTTTTTATATGTATTTTACTCAAATGTTAAGGCCCCTCTAAAAATGAAACATGGAGCCACTAAAATGGGTTCTAAAAAAAAAGTGCACTCTACAAATATATCCTATCAACACTTTTGATTCAGCAACAAAATTTCCTATCTTGTTATACAAATTCACAAGGAAAATGCATAAAAAAAGATAAAGGGAATATTATTGGTTTATGTCGACAGCTTTTGAAAGGAGATTAAACTCTGATTCAACAACAAAACGTCATTTTTTTGTGAACCTTTGCGCATGGTTGATTTAATCAAGTAGATTATGCTAGATTTAGGTTTGTTTCTATAAGGTGATTTTTATGAGATTTTTTTTGTTTGTTTTATCGTATTAACTTTATCTTTTATACGACTAGTATTTAATCACAACCCATGATGCGTTGAAGAACTCATTTGGAAAATGGACCACAGTTTAGAAAAATAAAGTTTCGATCCAAACAATTATGTAAAGTAAATAATAATTAAGAAATTATAATAATAAAAATTATATTAATAAAAATGAAAACTATAAAAACAAATTTTGCAAAGGGACCAAAGACAATTTTAGAATATTGTATTAAGTTTTTAAATTTAACAAAATTTTCCGAGGCAGTGAAGGACCTCAAATTTTATTTTGCTCTGAGTCTCAAATCGTCTTGGACCGGCCTGATCCCAATTGTAACAATTCTTTTTGCACTGACTCCTAACTGTCTTAACTACACGTTGTAATTTTTTTTGCACCGAAATGGTGAATAAAAATCAGGTACATGGAAAATTCCAAATAACATTTCTCAAGCTTTTCGTTTATCATCCAAATCAAGCATCCATTTTCAAATCTTCGTATCTTTTGCATCTTTGATCCAAATGAACTTTTATTAATCTTAATTAAATTTATGTTGGTGTATCCATTTTGTTTATATACCATCCAAAAACATGGTTTCCATGTTTTCTTTGAAGTGTACATCTCAAGAAACCATAATTCTTTAACTCACCATAAATTTGCCTTTCAAGGACTTTTTAATAACACTCTTTGTATTGGAATATATGGTCATTGATGTAGCCCACTAAACCCTATTTTTCATAGCCATTTATAAGGTGGACTTAAATTCCTTCAATTTCCAATTCATTCAAAAGATTTAATTTAAAAAAAAAAAAAAAAAAAAAAAAAAAAAAAAAACTATTTCAAAGGAAATCATAGTATGGAACATTTGATTTACTTGTTGTCTGGATCATACTAAGGCTTAAAGGAGTGGGCTTGCTAGGAGCGTTGTAAACCGCATGCCAGGGAGCTCGCTGGAAGAGAAACGCTACACCCACAACGAGAAGAGAGAAAGGATTTAGGTGGGATGTGATTGACTAATTCCTTTTTCTTTTCTTTTTTTCTATTTTTTTCTAAAATAAGTCCTATTAAATTGACATACTACCATTCCCTACATTTTATATGTTAGACATAATAAACTTATTAAATTGACATACTACCATTTCTTATATTTTTTTTATGTTAGACATAATAAGCTTACGTGACTTCAAAATATTTAAAAAATCATACATAACAATATGCTAAGAGTATCTCTTACAAAATAACTTTATTTGATAATAGATATGCATCCTTAAATTTAACTAAATTTAACGTTTTAGTTGTTTTCGGTGACTTTAAATGAATCTTTTGACTTTGAAGAGACATCGATTAATTCACAAAGAAATTTCATTTCTCACGAGGCTAAAACGGTTTGATCTAAATCAACATCTGTATAATAGCTTCTATTATATACATGCAATGAAATTTATATCATGTGTTAGATTGCAACCCTTTCATAAAATGTCTTGTCTCACTATTAATGGAATATTTTGACTTTTAGGAGATGCCAATTGATTCGTGAAGAAATCATTTTTTTCAAAGGGCTAAAATGGTATGATTTAAAGCAATATCTTTATAATAACTTCTACTGCAAGTAATGAAATTTATACCTAGTTTCGATTGCGATGCTTTCATTAGTTGGATACTTCAACCATTACAAGACCATCTCTTTGTGCAGAAAATTTAATTATTAAATAACTGAAATATATATATATATATATATATATATATATATATATATATATATATATATATATATATATATATATATATATATATATATATAGATCCGGTAAGAAATTTTTTTTGGTAGGAAGGTAAGAAGTTTTTTTTCTACATATTTTTTTGACGAACAAAATAAATGAATCACTAGATAATTCATTTGTAAGATGATTCACAAGAAAAAATTCCCAAAAAAACATATTTATGATTCATTTTTAACTAAATTAAGAAAAAATTCACTTTTATGACAATTTTAGTGAATAACAACAAAATCATTGTATAAATGAATCATTGAGATGTTTTTTGAGAATTTTTTCTTTTGAATCATCTTACAAATGAATCATCTAATGATTCATTTTGTTTGTTTGCGAAAAAAATATGTAGAAAAAAAACTTCTTACCTTCCTACAAAAAATTTCCTTCTTATTTGATCTTGACTCTCTCTCTCTCTCTCTCTCTCTCTCTCTCTATATATATATATATATATATATATATATATATATATGAATATTTAAGTATTAAATAAATGAAATATATTTTGAATATTTCGTTATTAAATAAAAATATTATGTTTTCCAAGAAATGAACAATTCATTTATCTCAACATAATTAAAAGAATCATTGCAAATTATTATATTAGTATGAGGACCACAAAGACATACTGCCGTATAAAGTTTAATATGTACAAACTAGCTACGAATACAATCAACTTGTATTAAAAGCTTAAATATTTTAAGTATTTATTAAATAAATTACACCTAAAATAAACTAACTTCCATTTACAAAATATAAATAATCGACATTCAATGTCTTAGCTTTTATATTAAATTTTTATAATAAATAATTAATATGACGGAGTAAATTTTTTATTATTATTTTTTTTGGTAAAATACCTTTCAAGAATTGTTGAAACTATGCTCTCACCCAATATGTTACAAGTTCAAGTGTTGTTTGACGTAGATTTATAAATTTATATTTATATTTAGCCGATGTATAAATTAGCCATTTATAAAAAAAAATTGATCATTCAATTATATTTCTTAATTTCAAAGTAGGATTAAAAAATAGAATTTAACAAACAAAAAGGTATAAAAATTCAGTGTATTTTCTTTTTCTTTACATTCGCATTATATATTGAAGGGTAAATTGCAAAAATGGTCCCTGTGGTTGGTAAAATTATGTGGTCTAGGTCCAAAAAAGTTTGACGATGCATCAGTGGTTCAATTTCAGATATGTTTTGTGTTTTTGGTCCCTATGGTTGGTATTTTGATGTGGTTTTGGTGCATACCTTATTTAAAATGACAAACATACCCTTAAATATTTCATTTTAAATTATTTTATTTAACTTATTATTATTTTAACTAAAAGAAAAAGAAAAAGAAATTATTATCCTCTCTCTCTCTCTCTCTCTCTCTCTCTCTCTCTCAAGGGGACATTGTGCAGAACCCTAAAGAACCCACTATAAGATCGTGACACCATTAACAAATTTAAGCTCAAACAACCGGAATCACAAAATCAAGTGAAGGCGTCAACTGAAGAACCCTAAAGCCGCCATCATCAACCACTCGAATTAGGAGGGGAATGTCAATCACAGATCCTTGAAACTGACTTTGTATCCTCTCAACTAGATATGATTTATCCGGATTTGGATTTTGATTTAGAAATTTAGAGTGGCAGCTAGTAGCGACGTGCGGAAGGAGGTTGCTCCAGGCGGTCTCTTGCTACTTCGTTCCTACTTATGCTCGACGGAAGTGATGAGTTGGAGATAAAAGGGAAAGTAATTCAAAAATAGCAGTTATGGAGGATAATGGCAGTGAGTTGTCGGGTTTCCTTCTTTCTCGTTTTTCCGGCAACCTTGGTGGGAGGAGGTGGTTGGAGTAACTGTGGATGGCGACTGGTGGTGTTTGAGGGTGCTTAGGTGGTGTTTGATTAATCTAACAGTAGGGGATATAAGGTGGAGTTTGTGGTGGGTTATTGGTGTAGTTCACGATGGTTAAAGCCACCGGTAGTGGTTTTTAGTGGTGTTCGATAGTTACAACAACAACACCACCACCACTCCTTGGTGGTGCTTGTTCTCGGTAGTGAAGGAAGAAAGGTAAATAGAAAACGTAAAGGTTGGGTAGTATTTGGTTGTCATTTTGGTCAATAGAGGGTGGTGCAAGGTGGTCCTATGGTGGAGTAAAGGGGTGGTGAAATGGTGGTGTTTCAAAACTGATGAATTTGGGTTGTAGATTCGTGAGGCTTTAGAGGGTTATGCCCTTTATTTAACATCATTTCAAGAAAGATGGAGGTGGTAAATGGTTACGAGGAGAAAAAGAAGAACTGATTAATTTTCTTTCATTCACTTGTATATGGCTTCAATTTGATCAGGGAAGGAAAAACCTTTAGCATGTTTCCTCATTAGTTCATTTGACTTTCACAAGTCAAAGACAGAAGAGAGAGAGATAGAAGGAGAGAGATCGAGAGAGAGAGAGTCATTCTCTAATTTTTAATTACTTAAAATCATTAAGATTTATATAAAAATAAGAAAAACAAATATAAAGGGTATAATTGTCCTTTTAAGTGGATAGGGACCAAAATCACTAAAAATATCCAATTTTGGACCAATAGTGCATCAACATTTCGTTTTGAACCAAAAACATAGAATTTTGACAACCATAGGACCATTTTTGCAATTTTGTCTATATTGAAAATTATAAACTTAAATTATGTATAATTACTTATTACAAGTACAAGTTCGAACAAGAGCTGACCTCAAATATAAAGCAGGCGACTTCGAATTCAGTCCATCTTCCCTATATTTCTTGATAAAATTCCATCTCCCAAAAGTCTCTCTCTCTCTTCTTTCTCTCTCTAGAAACTCTCATTGCTTGTTTTCATCGACAGGATCTATTGATTTCTTTAATGGGGGGCTTCTCTTTTTAGTTAATACAAATAAAATAGAAGAAAACAAATAGTCCTTCTGCCATACCTCATTCATTCCCCACTCGTGTTTATATCATCACACTCCACTATGGTTAATTTGATCCCATTCTTAGCTCAAGAACAAAGCTGATAATCAGCAAACCCTTTCATCGTTTTCAAGAAACATTTCGTTACTAATCCATTGGTAAAGATTGTTTCTTTTTGTTCTTACTGGGTTTTATAGGATTTCCGATTTGGGGATTTGGTATAATATCGGTGGGAATGTAAATGGGTTCTCTTAGTCCGGTACTTCCGCTTAAAAGAGACTCTTTACTTAAAATTTCACCAAATAATTCTTCGCATTTGCAAAGACCCAGATCAAGATTTGCGAGGCTTATTGGTTTCAAGAAGATAGATTACTTGCAATGGGTTTCAGCGTTGGCTGTCTTCATCTTCTTCATGTTCTTGGTTCAAATGTTCTTGCCGCTTTCAATGGTGGATAAAGCTGATGGCGATTTCCTGAAACGAGAAGCTGATTCTGATTTCATCAACTTACTGAAACAAATTGGCGATTTGGATTTCGGTGAAGATGCCAAGTTTATGCCCACCAAGCTTATGATGAAATTCCGAAGAGAAGAAATTAACAATGCTTCTTTCGGTGGTTCAAGAACATTAGCCAGATTTCCCAATAGAAAACCCCAACTTGCTTTGGTGAGTATTATTGTTAATGAATTTACAAAATTCCTTCCATTTTCATGTTCATTTTAGTTTCGCTTTTTATTAGTTTCAATTTGTAGGTTTTTGCAGATCTGTTGGTTGATCCACAGCAGATATTAATGGTCACAGTTGCAGCTGCTTTAAGGGCAATTGGCTATGAAATTGAGGTGCTGTTTTCATTAACATTTAAGCTACTTTTATCTTATAAGTTTCTTACATTTTCTGCACAAATTATATAACTTGTGTAGGTTTACTCGCTTGAAAATGGACCTGTTCATTCTATTTGGAGAAGTATTGGAGTTCCTGTGAATATTATGGATGCTAACAATAAAACAGACATTACAATTGACTGGTTAAAGTATTTTGCTTTTTACTCTATTATATTATAATTACAAAAACTCCTGAAAAATGTTTTCTACAACATTTTTTTTTTCTTTTAATAATCTTTTGCAGCTATGATGGTGTACTTGTGAACTCTCTTGAAGCAAAGGATGTTGTTTCATGGTAAGTGGAGTCTTATTTACTACCAAAAATAAGTTTGCTAATTCTTTCATTTAGTCCTATTTCTGAGCAATTTTTATATTTTGTTGCAGCCTTTTGCATGAACCCTTTAAATCTGTTCCTCTTATATGGAGTATCCATGAAAAAAGTCTTGCTACTCGTGTGGCAAGTTATGTCTCCAGTGGCAAAGTTGAGATTATTGATGAATGGAAGCCTATTTTTAATCGAGCTACAGTTGTTGTCTTCCCAAACTATGCCCTACCTGTATGTATATATATAATCTAAGGTTTAAATGCAAAAAAAAAGCAATATACTTTCATTTAAATGGAAGTAGAATACTATAATACACAAATAAATGAAAGTACATTGCAATTTTAACATTTTGAATTTGTGGGTCCCATTTCCCATCCCATTGAATGATGTCATGAGAAGAAAAATTGTGATTATAGGTGTTTTACATTAATAAAGATGGGAATGGGACCCACATATATCCCCCCTAAAGATGTGATTTTTTTTTTTTTTTTTTTTTTTTTTTTCAGATGTTTTATGCTGCATTTGATGATGGAAACTACTTTGTCATACCTGGATCTCCTTCCAAAGCTTGCAAAGTAGAAGATTCAACAATCATTCATGAAGAAAATCATCTGCATGTAAATATGATGGATATTGGAGTTGATGATTTTGTTGTTGCTGTTGTGGGAAGCGAGTTTCTATATAAAGGAATATGGTTGGAGCATGCTCTTGTGTTAAGAGCTTTATTTCCACTTTTAGCTGAGTTTCGAATTAGTGACAATTTCAGTCCTCGTCTCAAGATCTTAATCTTCACTCATGATTTGACCGGTAATTACAGTTCTGCCATTGAGGTAAAGTTGTTTTTTATTTTAACTTTCCTTTTGTTTTTTTAGCAAGTTGGGTAAATGCAAGAAATAGCAATGTACTTTCATTAATTAAAAAAAAGAAAAAACCACTACATAAAACTTTGAATTCTGTAAAAACCACTATAGTTTGGAATTTGTTTAGTTTAACCACTCAAAGAAATGTTTTTATGATTTTAACCATTAAAATTTTGATTTTTTTTTTTCTAGAAAAATCAACTTCAACTGAAAAAATCTTCTGATTGTTTTTTACAACTCATCACCAGAAAAAAAAGTGTTTTTTTTTACTTATTTGTCCTTTGCCATCATTGCAAAAGTTTGACTATCTTGATTTCGGTCCAAAAGGTGTCTATGACTCGTTGTGATTAAAGGGTAATTTAGGTATTTGAGAAATAGTCAAACAATCTCCTAAAACTAAGTCAGGTCATATTATTGCATTTATAAAATCTACCTAGTTACATGCAAATGCAAACCGTTGGGTATATTTTTCAAAGTTTAATAATGTCTTAATAAGAAAAAAAAAACTGAATTGGGGCATTAAACTTTGAAAAATCATCAACCGCATTATAGCATTATACTTTTGATTTTTTTCTTATTATGAAAAATCTATCCAATTTAGACCTTTGCAAGTTGTTAAGTTATTGTCATTGTTTCAAAATTTTGACTGTAAGGGTAGTTTAGACATTTGACAAATGTTTTTTGTTGTAGGAAATTGCTTTAAACCTTAATTATCCAAGAGGTAGTGTGAGTCATGTTGCCATTGATGAAGACATGGGCGTTTTAGGAATAACTGATGTTGTAATATACGGGTCATTCTTTGAAGAACAATCTTTTCCTGATATTCTGACAAGGGCAATGTGTCTTGAGAAACCAATAATTGCCCCTGACTTACCAATAATCAAGAAATATGTAAGTCAACCTATCTCTATTACAAATTATCCTTTGACTTTTTTCAGTCAAACTTCTATTTGGGTGAAACGTACGAATTTATATGATCTTGTAATTATTATTATTTTTTTATAGCACTAATTGTATTTCTTAAACCCAATTACTGTTTTTTCCACAAAAACTTCAATAAGTTCCGATTCATATCGTTTTCGAAATCGAAAATAGTTTGTTTGACTTTATAAGTCAATGTATGACAAACTAATGTCAAACTTCTATAGACTCATATCATTATTTTTGAAGTAGAAAAAAGTTTGTTTGACTTCAAAAGTCAAAGTATACAAACTAATAACTTCATAACACATTTCAGGTTAATCACGGGGTAAATGGGCTTCTTTTTCCAAAGGAAAACATAAAGGAGTTAACACAAATAACATTACAAGTGGTTTCCAAAGGAAAATTATCATCTCTAGCTACCAATATTGCATCAACCGGAAAAGACACTGCCAAAAACATGATGGCTTTGGATTCCATTGAAGGGTATGCTTCATTGATAGAAAACATCCTTCACCTTCCCTCGGAAGTTGCATCTCCAAGGGCAATATCGGAAATTCCCTCCGATATCAAAACAAAGTGGCAATGGCATCTTTTTGAAGCTATTGAAGATCGTGAATACGTAAATAGAACTTTGAGGATTCATCATTTGTTAGACAAAGTCGAAGGTCAATGGAAGCATGCTCCAAGGGCAATATCGGAAATTCCAACAAATGATTCCTTTATATATGATTTATGGGAAGAAGAAAAAAGAGACCAGATAATGAAAGCTAGAAGGGCAAGAGAAGACGATGAGGTAACGGGATGGAAGTTGAAAAAAATCTCTTTTTCCTTATTTTGATTGATGTGAATTTACTTATTTGGCCTTTGTTATGTAGGTGAGAGATAGAAGTGAGCAACCAAGGGGGACATGGGAGGAAGTGTACAAAAATGCGAAAAAAGTTGATAGAAATAAGAATGATTTGCATGAGAGGGATGATGGGGAGCTTGAAAGAACAGGTCAACCGTTGTGCATCTATGAACCTTACTTTGGTCAAGGATCTTGGTCTTTTCTCCACACTAATTCTCTTTATCGGGGGATTCGACTCGTAAGTAGTTTTTGACTTTTTCATTATGCATCTATGAAAACCCTTTTGACTTTTTTGTCGAGGTGTTTTTCATCAAAATTTTTTGGTCAAGTACAAAAGACCAAGATTTTCATTTCTGAACTCATATTAGTGTCAAATTTACCTTTTATCAAACCTTTTGAACTGTTGGTCAAAGTTTGACTTTGTCGGTGTAATGTTTTCAAGGCTAGATCTGAATTTCACATGTATGATTATGTCTTTAAGGTGCATCTTAAAGTGTTTTTAGGTCATTTTGGCACAACCCCTTTTGATTAATTGGACAAACATGGGTTTTTACTGTGTTTATTAGTGTTGAAAATTTTCTTTGACGTTTTGGAGTCAAACTTTGATTTTCTGGTCAATTCTTGATTTTTTAGTACAAAAAACAAGATTGCCACTTTTGAAACACCCTTTAGTCATAAATCAAACCAGGATCATGTAATTTTAACCTTACATTCATCGGAGTCAAACTTTGAGTTTTGGTACAAAAAACCATTAATATGATTTATGATTTATGAATTGATAAATGTTGTAGTCAACAAAAAGTGGAAGACCAAGAAGAGATGACATTGATGCAGCTTCTCGTCTCCCTCTTCTAAACACAGCTTACTACCGTGACACATTTGGTGATTTTGGAGCTTTTCTTGCCATTGCTAATCGAATAGACCACATTCACAAAAACGCTTGGATCGGTTTCTCTTCATGGAGATCTACCCCTAAAAAGGCAACTTCTCATCGCCTTTCTTATTCTAAAAACTACAAACAACATACTTTCCACTTATTTCTGTATTCTATTTATATAATTATACCATCCCACTTCCAATTTTAAATTTTTTACACCTTAAGAAAGCATTGCATTTGAAAAATCTAGCAATCAAAATTGCTTTGTATTTGGGAAGAAATCAAAGTATGTTGCTATTTCTTGCATCCAACCCTAAAAAAGTAAAAATAATGTCCTTGATATAGGAATCTTTATCGAAGAATGCCGAAATTGCTTTACTAGAAGATATTGAAGCTCAAAAACACGGTGATGCGCTTTATTTTTGGGTTCGTATGGATAAAGATCCAAGAAACCCGACCCAACTAGATTTTTGGTCCTTTTGCGATGCTATAAATGCCGGTAATTGCAAGTAAGTTGAAAAAAAGAAAAAAAATCCAGCCATTTTGGGCCAAATCCAAGTTTTGATTTAGTCTTATGTTTGATTTGTACAAGGTTTGCATATTCGGAAGCTTTCAAGAAAATGTACGGGATAAAAGGTAACTTGACCATTGTACCCCCAATGCCCATAGATGGAGGAGACACATGGTCTGTGATGAATAGTTGGGCCATGCCAACAAAATCTTTCCTTGAGTTTGTAATGTTCTCAAGGTTTGTAGATTGTTTTTAATTAGTGAATTTGAATTTATATAAAGTTAGGGGAAGGAATTTTAATTTTCTAGTTGTTAATTTGCAGGATGTTTGTAGATGCTATAGATGAACAAATGTATGATGAACATCATGGAAGTGGTTTGTGCTATCTAAGTTTGAATAAGGTAAAATATTTTTTTGTTATTATCGTCATATTTAGTTGTGTCAAATTACATGAATTATTTATAAAATTTTCAAGGACAAGCATTGCTACTCACGGGTACTCGAGGTTCTCGTTAACATTTGGGCATATCATAGCGCAAGAAGAATGGTGTACATAGATCCCAACACCGGAAAAACACAAGAACAACATCATTTCCAGAAACGCGCGGGAAAAATGTGGGTGAAATGGTTCGATTACAGCACCTTGAAAGCCATGGATGAAGATCTGGCGGAGGAGGCCGATTCCGACCACCCTACAAGGCGGTGGTTATGGCCTTCCACCGGCGAGGTGTTCTGGCAAGGAGTGTATGAGAAAGAAAGGATGCAATGGAGGAAAGAGAAAGAAACAAAGAAACAAAAGACGCGGGCAAAGATTCAGAGGATTAAGAACCGGACTCACCAGAAAGTCATCGGGAAGTATGTGAAACCGCCGCCGGAAAACTCTACGGTGGCGGCGGTAGCGAGGGGCTTCAGGTAGCGGAGGTCGTTCTTGATAGGTTTTTCTTAACGGTGTAGGTGTAGTGGGATTGGTTCAATTCTTTGTGATAATCTTTTGTTTTTTGTTTTTTTTTTTTTCAATTATTTTTTGGGGAAAGTGAGATGGATAGGGTTTTTTAGAAGTGTTTTTATATGTAAATTGCATTTTTTTTAATGATATGATGATACTAATGCTAATGCTAATTTGACCAAATGTTTCCATATGGTGAGTGAATTTTATTCCACAAGGGAAATATGTGAAAAAGTCTCATTATTTTAAATCAATTTACGATTTAGTTCCAAATTAAATTTTGTTTACAAAAAAGAACAGATTATCGGTTAAAACTTCGGATTAATCCTTCGTGGCCGGTATCTCGTCTTTTTTCGTTAATTAATCAAAAATTTTGGGCTTTTTCATTAATTAATCAAAATCTTAGAGTTTTTTTATTATTTATTACCAATAAATCAAAATATTTGGATTTTTCTGAATATTACCTTTAAACTAATATATATTATATGATCTAAGTTAATATGTACTATTCCATGTTTTCTTTCTTATGCTCTTCTAGGCTCACCGTGTGTTTTTATCGGTGTCGTCAAATCCAACAATAAAAATTTCACTCACAAGCCTCGTTAACTCCATTGATTTTCCAAAATTATTCATTCACAACTCTATAATCATCTTTCAATCTCCAAATAAAGAACGGAGAAAATCCTTGTTGATTACGTGGATGTCCCTATTACCTAACCATGACTTAAGTCGTGGTTCCAACACTTGGATGCTCCTATTATCTAACCATGACTTGAATCCTATTTCGAACCCATACACTATTCGCATTGTCCATAGTGTTGTTCACAACAAAATACGAATCCCACATGGTTTAACCACTGATACCTTGGCTCAAGTCTTACATGACCCTTGTTTCCTTACAATAGGGCTTGAAAACCATGAAGAATGAACCATTAAGCTTAAAAAACTCAACATAGGTAAAAAAAATCAACTCGATATTATGTACTGAAAACCATGAAGAATGTTAACTCTAATTGTAAAAAAGATGTTAACAAGCTATCCATCATAAACTATTAAAATATTAATTTGGTATACCTACTGTAACATCCTAAAATTACGGGCCAAAAATTTCATTTTTAATTAAGTTGAACATACAAGTTATCAATACAATAGAAACCAATCATGTCTCTGATACCACTGATGAGTTTTATACAAAAGAACATCCTATGTGCTCATACAAACCCTAATGCTTGGATCTAGGTTTCTCTATTGTACATGCAATTCATCCAAGACTCAAGAACCCTAATCTAGCATATGTATTTCGAAATTAACATGTAAGAACAGATCTAGATAATTACCTCTTGAACAATGGCTTGATTCTTCTTGTCTTGGAGCTATGAGTCACAAGTGTCACTCCTCTAATGGCTTACAAACACCACAAGAAAAAGAATGACTTATGAGAGGAGAAGGAGGCACCAAAAATGTCCAAGAAACTTCAAGGAATGTTTAGCCACATTTTTGGGTGCCCTAGGGATCTTTATATAGTGAGGCTATTAGGGTTTTGAACTAGGAAACTCTAATCTGAGTGTTTTGGCCCTAAGCAGCCCATGGACTCCCTTCAGAACACCCCTTGGACGAATTCCTTATAGGCTTCCCATAGAATTCGTCTAAACTATGTTCCAAGGTGTTCCATAGCCCAATTGTAATTATCTTATAATTACAATTTTAGTCCCTTAAGTTTAATTAATCTCTTTTAACCACAAAACTAATTCTTAATTAATTCTTGGCTAATATTAATTAAATAATATGATTTCTCCTTTAATATATTATTCATATAATATATTAATAAATCATAATTAACCTCTCTCCTCATGAATCATCCTATCAAGTTGCTTTGGTGAAGGCAACCCAAAAGGATAATGCACAACTGGGTCAAATACTTACCAAATATAGTTACGAGCTTAGACACTAATCCAACACTATCTACCAACCTAGTGAATGCTATGGCTACACCCTCCATCTCAAGACACTCTATCACTATCTGCCAACCTCATGAATGCTACGGCTACGCCCGCAGACTTACAACATGCTATCACTATCTAACTGCTAGTGAATGCTACGGGTACTCCACCCCCCAGTCTTACAACACTATCCATGCTAACTGACTGCTAGTGAATGCTATGGCTACCCCCGTAGTCTACAACGCTTTCCATACTATCTAACTTTTAGCGAATGTTACGGCTACCCTCGTAGTCTTACAACACTTTCCATACTACTTGATCGCTAGTGAATGCTATGGCTACCCCCGCAGTCTTACAACACTTTCCATACTATCTAACTGTTAGTGAATACTATGGCTACCCCCGTAGTCTTACAACACTTTCCATACCACCTGATCGCTAGTGAATGCTACGGCTACTCCCGTAGTCTTACAACACTTTCCATACTACCTGATCGCTAGTGAATGCTACGGCTACCCCCGTAGGCTTACAACACTTTCCATACTACCTGATCGCTAGTGAATGCTATAGCTACCCCCGTAGTCTTACAACACTTTCCATAATACCTGATCGCTAGTGAATGCTACGGTTACCCCCACAGTCTTACAACACTTTCCATACCGGTCGAACACGCACTCGACCAAACACACAACTGAACTTGAGTCCTAACTGGAGCGTTAACCTGGTTCCCGAAACCTGCTATCACGTGACCCCGTTGCATCAGTACAGTACCCATGCCCAGGATCGAAGCGTCACAGTAAACCACAGAATCATCCACACCCTCTGGAAGGGTGAGAATTGGTGCCTCGCATAACCGCTGTCTGAGAGTCTCGAAGGCTGCTTGCTGATCAGGCCCCCAACGAAAGGCCATTGACTTCTTGGTCAGTCACGTCAAAGAAACCACAATCTCGGAGAAGTCCCATATAAATCTTCGGTAATAACCAGCTAGACCCAGGAAACTCCGAATCTCAGTTGGAGACCTCAGAATATCCCACTGCATCACGACCTCTATCTTGGCTGGATCGATTAGAATACCCTTCTGGTTGACAAGGTGACCAAGAGATTGCACCTCGTGCAACCAGAACTCGCATTTGGAGAACTTTAAAAAAAGTATCTCCCACACTTAGATTCGACTAAGTATTCACGGTACGTGAGAATTGAAGGATTCCCAATCCTTATCGCTTTCTAATATCCCACTGATGACAACCTATGCTTACTAGCGATTAATCACCGGTTAAACCTTGAGATCGCCCATCCTCTGAATCTTGAAGAGTACTCTTGAAATCTGGTCCATTATGACACCTCAATCCATCTCCCATGCTGTCAACTGAAGGCCTTAATATTCACTCTAGCTGACGAATCCTCATTCCCACTTCCGATCTTGCAACACCACTGAACTCTAACCGAACATAGCCCATGCAAGAAATGCAATTCTCTTGAACATCCAATGACCGAATACCCATGCTTCTAACACTCGCAATTGACTCCACTATCTTCATGCTACCAGTCCTTTCCTAGAAATAGTAGTGCCTTGAACTAAAAATTTCATCCATAGACAATTGTCGACCATACCTGAACCATGATAAAACCACTGAACACTGAATTCACTAGAGAACTATCGCTCTAACCCTGACCGAATATCCTCTAAATAATACCCCGCACAGATCCCGACGAAGATCCAGAATGATAACGGTACACGCGGAACCCACTCCGCAAGATGAGTCCCTCTGTGGGTTCATCAAGGACTTTTCGGCATGTAGGATATGATCCTTAATAACCCAGCCACTAGCAGAAAACCAACCCGAGATCTGACTTATCCAAACTCACTCACAATTCCAAAGCGATACATATTCCCAACATCCATCTAGAAGCAGTAGAAGATGACATACCTGCAACATCTGGAGGACTATTGATCACCTTCAGCTGGCATGATCAACCATGCCACACCTATAGCAGCCTAAACCCTTAGAGTGACAAACTCCCTTGTGCACTTTCTCGTACGTGTTGCACTGACTCCGGCCCTGCTGGCGTTTCATCCGATGATCAGAAGTCATGGGTCTCTTCCTGGGTCCCTATACCATACGAACCTAACATGACCCTCTCTTCCAGGGTGATCCAAATCGATATTGTATCTACAAACTCTTGGAACTCATCTCCTTTAGGGTCTGACAGCCTGTCACATTCACTGGGTCACTTGCTAACACCGTTTTGTTTTCTATCGTTTGATGCCAATTGGAGATACGTAAAGTATTCTTTATGCAACTCTGAGCCAAAATATGGAAACCGGTAGGCAAGATAACACAAACAGTTTGCTGAGAGTTCAGTTCGTTTACAACCCTAGGTATGGTAGTAGAAGATGGGGTTAAAGCTTCTTTTATATATATATATATATATATATATATATATATATAATATATATATATATATATATATATATATATATATATATATATATATGAGTAAACTACACGAATGGTCCCTATGGTTTAGGATAATTTGCATGTTTGATCCATAACTTAATTTTTTAACTCGGAAGATCCCTACTATTTGTTTTTATTATATGTGTGGTCCGTATCTTACCTAAAAAAATTATTTTGTCATTTTTTTAATTTATTTAAATAAACAGATGTCCAACACCACCCCCTCAGCTTACCTTACCTATCCTATCATTTTTTTTCTATTTATATAATAGTCTTTTTAGGTAAGACAAAGACCAAACGTATAACAAAACAAACAGTTGGGACCAAGCACACAAATTACACCAAACCATAAGGACCATTCGTGTAATTTACTCTCTCTCTCTCTCTCTCTCTCTATATATATATATATATATATATATATATATATATATATATATATATATATATATATATATATGAGATGAGGTTCAATAGAAAACCATAATGAATCAAGAAATCAAGGAACCAATCTTTTTTTTTCAACTTTTAGAGTTTATTTTTTATCATATATATATATATATATATATATATATATATATATTATATATATATATATAATATATATATTATAATATATATATATATATATATATATATATAAATACAGAAATTCATAATTTTTTTTATCATTTTTCCAATGATATCAAATTCGATAATTTTTTTTTGTCAGATTCACAATGTAAATCTAAATTCACAGG